CTGTCTCTCTCTCTCTCTCTCTCTGTCTCTCTCTCTCCCTCTGTCTTTTTAAACATTTTTTAGAAGCAATTTTTGGTGTGCATTCCCGGGAACTGGGGAGAGTGTTTCTGCAACTGATCTTTGGTGTGGCACTGCACCAGACCTGAGCTTGACCCGAGCTTGGCCCAGGGAGGTGGCTGCACTCACTCTGCCCCTACTGTCACCTCACAAGTGTGCAGCTGGGGGAATCCCCGCTCCACAGGAGCCAAGAGGTGTTCCTGGGAGCTCCAGGATTCTGGAATGAGGAAGCAAGGCTATGGAGGGAGGTGACGGGCGGGCGGCACCAGGTCCTGAGGTCGGGAGCGGGAAGAGGGGGGACCGGCTGGCTTGGACGCTAGACAGCCAGGTGTGGCTGTAATGGGCCCAGGCCTGGGAAGGGAAGGGAAGCACAAGAAGAGGTGGGTGTCTCACCTGCTGCGCACGGCCAGGGCTGGCCCTGGGGAGGCAGGGCAGGCCAGGTCACCCCAGGGACCACCTGATGCCCCCCTTCAGTATCCTGGCCAGGGGGTAGGCAGGGCCACCAGCAGCTCCGGGATCTATTTAAACATTTTATGGACTGTAGTGTTAACTTGCGATTCCCTGGTCAGGGTGCACAGCCCAGTGCTCCCAATGCACGCAGATGGTGCCAATGCGGCCTTTGCAGGACATTTTCATTACACTAAGGAAAACCATCCCACACCCTCTAGCTACCACCTGGAGACCACCCACCAATCACAACAGGCCTGGCCTCTGGGGGGCCTGCCCAGAGCCCAGAGTCTGCACCAGGCTTGTTGCTCAGCTGTTGTGCTCTAGAAAACCTGGATATTCTTTGCAGACAACTGCAGCCTGTTCCCACACTTCACTGGCTCTGGTCCTGATGTGGAGCAGGCCATTTTGATTTGGAGGATGGAAATCCAGTCGTGCAGACTGACAGTGGAGATCCCGGGAGCTTGCTGGGGCTCCTTGCAGTGGGCAAGGGGCACTGCAGGGCTTGGGCCCATCGCCAAATCCCCTTGGCACTGCTTACATTTCCTGTGGCTGCTGGAACAAATCTCTGCATATTGGGTGGCTTCCAACTGCAGGAATTGATTGGCCATAATCCTGGAGGCCGGCAGGGTCGTGCTTCCCAAGAAGGCTCTCACAGGTTCTGTGTGGCAGAAGACACTGGCGGCCCCTGGTGTGGGCAAGCACCCCTCCCACCTCTGAGCTCCACAGTCACCTCTTCCTGGGTCTGTGTCTCTCCTCCTCTTCTTGGAAGGACACCAGTCTTTGGATTAGGGTTGACCTCAACTCGGTTTCATCTGCAAAGCCCTATTCCCAAGCAAGGCCATGCTCACAGCTACTGGTGGTTGGGACTTTCACACATCTACTGGGGGACACGACCCAGCCTGATTCACAAACATGCATCAGCTGTTCCCCAGGGGAAGCCAGGACTGAGCTGCTCTCCAGCTTAGCTTATGGCTGGGGGAGGCCTGGTGGAGAGGGGACCTCAACCCAGAATGAGTGGGGGGGGTCTTGACAAATGTCACAGAAATGAATTTAAGGACACACCAGCTGGAGGCATAGCAGAGATGTGTTGGGAAAGCAGAGACACCTTGGAGAGAGAATGTGGGCCGTCTACCGAGTAAGGGACACTCCGGGTTCTCAGGCTCTTCTCTTAAAGGAAACTTGGCGAGGTGGGCATGGGAAGGCATGTGACAATGACATGAGTCTGGTGCTCACAGATGGTTGGTTGAGGATCCTCAGGGTGACGGTGTCTCCATGGTCTGGCCAGTAAACAACCTCAGAAGGTACCCTGGATTATGGTTTTCTTAAATAGTGTCTCTCTCTTGCTTAACCTCATTTAGTAAGTCGGCTAATCAACACGGCACAAGGTCATTTTCTTACATAAGTGAACTTACAGTAACTGAGGTTGGGAGTGAAGATTTATAGATCTCCCATAAACCTGGGCGTGACGGCCTGAGGGACAGCTGGCTTGGGGATTGAGGTGGAGGAGCCACAGCTCGCTTTCAGGTTCAGCTATACCTCCTGACTTCCTTTTATCTCTGTTCCTGCCACCTTCCTGTTCTCTTCTACTCTGACCCACTTCCCACTGCCTCATCCTTGGCCTCTTCCTGGGCCCGGGCCCCACGGTCTCCCTTCCAGCACTTCTCCCGTCTGCACAGGAAGGCTTGAGGGAGGTGTTAGCGGGAACTGGCCCCAGGCAGGCCTTCTGACACTGGTCAGGGCTGTGGCCTTCCATCCTCCTTAGTTCCAGGGTTCAAAGCTCAGACTCAGTCTGGAAGTCTGCTTCCGCCTACTCAGTGGCTGAGGAGGCCATGGCAGGATGCCCCTGTGAGTTCCTGGAGCAGAGATTCACCTTGTGGGTTTGAGTGGGGGCTGTGGGGATGGACCCGGGGCTGGTGCCCACTGGGGGAGAGTTCCGTGACTCAGTGGCACCTGGCACTTTCTTCTTCTCTCCCCACTGTGTTAGTCTTTGGTGCCTGAACTTTGACTTTTGGAGCAGGTCACGTGGTTCAACAGAGCTGTCACAGTGTCATCTGGCACTATTTGATTTCAGGCTCTTCCTGCCCAGCCCTATCCCCTGGGCAGCCAGCGGCAGCACGCCTGGCCCAGGGCTTGGGGACCGTGGCTGCAGGGACAGACCCCATCCCACCACCTGCAGTGCGTGCAGAAGCAGACCCCAGCCCCTCGGTGAGTACCCGCTGCAGCCCAGGCTTCTGGGATGGGCTGCTGGCTCTTCACAGAGGCAGGACTCCAACATCCTTGTCCATTTTCAGTCTGCAAGGGCTGGTGGCCTGATTTCCAGGTGTGCTCAGGGTGCAGGCCTCTCAGTGAGCACTTGGCTACAGCTGGTCCAGCCTGTCGTTCCAAACAAGAGAATCAAACAGTGGGAATCATGGACCTGAGAAATGCTCTCCACTGTGCCCAGAGATGCACCAGGATGGTCAGCACAGCACTGTGCTGGAGGACAGCTGACGTGGTCCAGCCACAGGAGCAGCGCTCAGCCAGCTCTGGTCCCCTGGCATATTGAATCCAGGCTCAGCTTCAACAGGAACAGAGTGAACACATTTCCAGAGTTCCAGGGCAGAGGCCCGGCTCTGGGGGTCCCAGTGGACTGAACTGGGCTACCCACTCCAAGACGCCAATCCAAGACCTGAGGGTGGCAGAGGCAGGGAAAGAGCTTCAAGGGGCTCAAGGACATTGAGGTTTTATAGGAAGGGACATGAAGGCCAGGGTTGGGTTTTGCACAGGTGGGGGTCGCAGACCTGGCAGACGGGGTGATCTTGGTCAGGACTGTTCGATCATTATTTCGGGATCAGTCATGCAGGGCTTTGTTGTGATAACAAACTTACTGTCGTCCCAGCTGCTCGGGAAGCTGAGGCAGGAGGATCACAAGATCAAAGCCAGCCTCAGCAACTTAGTGAGACCCCGTCTAGAAACAAAAGGGGTGAGGATGTGGCTCAGTGGTAGGTCACCCATGTGGTCAATTCCTGGCCTCCCTACCCCACAAAAAAGAAAGTTGCTGTTGCCTGGGAATAGCTTTGCCTCTTGTCAGAAGATATTCTGTGAGACTTGTTCCTGAATCCAAAGTGACTGCAGAAGAGGGTGGCTTAAGAGAACTCAGAAGGAAAAGACCAAGCCAGAGAGGCAGTCAGAGTCAAATGGGCCTCCGTCATACGGAGCTGCAGTTGTCAGCACCACATGCCTCCAGACTGGGTGCAGCCTGGCACGCGAGAGGCCCTGGGGACACCCCTAGTGCCACGCTCATAGGCCAAGAAGATAAACCTAAAAACAGGTGGAACGTACCAGTCCAGATGTCTAATACTATTACGCAAGTTGTTCCTGGAATCCAAGGCAAGGCAGGGCAAAGGAGCCAGAGGCAAACTGGGGCGGAGGTGCCGAGTTCCCTACCTTTGCAGGCCCCGGTGAGGAGTCTGTGTCTTTAGCAAAGGCAGGTTCCAAGTCCCTGTGACATTTCCTTAACCAGAAGTCTGATGTGCCAAATGTTGGTGTGGAATCTGCACCGTGGGTTCGTGGGTACATCACGGGCAGGACCTGTTTTATATGCTTGAGCCAGTCTGCAGTTGAGAAACGTCCTTATGCTATTTAGGTGGATTAATGGGCTGACCTGAGTCAGTGCAGCGGGGCAGGCAGAGACCCCGGCAGGAACACAGCTGTAAACCCAGCTCACCCACAAAGCCAGGGTGCCCAGGGCGTGTTCCTGGGGGGGAGGGTGCAGGTGACCTCTGGGCCATAGGTTGAGGTTTTACAGGAAGGTCTGCGGGCCACATGCATAGCCAGTCTTCAGGGGCTTGAACAGGGACTGGTTGGATGCACTTTGTGCAAACAGCTGGGGCTTGTGAGGCCAGTGGTGGAGCCGACTGGGATCCCTCCAGGAACATGTCTCTCCCGCCATTTGCTCTGCTTCTTCGCCTTTTGAAGCCCGTGCCCCCCCCCCCCCCAGCTGCGAGGCGAGGCCCTCGGGCTTCTTTCTCAGTCTGTTTCTGCGGTGCTCTCCTGCCATCTGTATCGCTGCCCTCGCATCTGGAGCTGCTACAACAGGGCCCCTCGCTGGGCTGCTTAAAACAACAGACTTTTATTCTCTGACAGTCCTGGAGGTCAAAACCTCAGGTCAAAGTGTCGGCAGGGCTCCTGGGAAGAGCCCTCCTGCCCTCTGGCTTCTGGAGCCACCCTTGCACAGTCCTGGCTTGAGCCCTCTCTGTCTCCGTAGTCACTTGGCCTTTTTAAATTTTATTTTTTGGTGGTGAGGATTGAACCAGGGGTGCTCTACCACGGAGCTGTACCCCCGGCCCTTTTAAATTTTTATTTTGAGACAGGGTCTCCCTAGGTTGGCCTGGAACCTGCCCTCTCTGAGCTGTTCTCTCCCACAACGTGGGCAGCGTTCTCCTGGATCCCTGAAGCCAGTTCTTGGGTTCCAGCCCTCCTGTGCCCCTTCCAGGTTGTGGCAGCACCCAGGCATGGCGGAGCTGTGCCGCACAGACTCCACGCTGACGTCCCTGGACGAGGAGACGCTGTGGGAGCTGATGGAGAGCCACCGCTACAAGATCGTGCGCAGCATCTGCCCCAGCCGCCTCACCCCCTACCTGCGCCAGGCCAAGGTGCTGGGCCAGCTGGACGAGGAGGAGGTCCTGCACAGCTCCCGCTTCACCAACAGCGCCATGAGAGTGGGTGAGCCTGGAGGGCACACCGCCAACTGGGCCCCAGCACCCCCAGCCCTGGACTCCAGCTGGGCTCTTCCTGCCCAGCCAGAGCCACACACCTGGCCCCTAGCCGTAAAGCCCTCCAGCAGGGCCAACAGCAGGGCCGGGAGCACAGGCTGCACAACACCGGGGGGACGGGAGTTGCAGACTTTGGGAACACTGTTAGTCCCCTAGGGCCACCCGACCCTGAACACGATGATTTAAAACAGCAGCAATGGGGCTGGGTGCAGTGGTGCACACTCGTGATCCCAGCGACTCCGGAGGCTGAGGCAGGAGGATCCCGAGTTCAAGGCCAGCCTGGACAACTTGGTGAGATCCAGGCT